GGAGGGCCCCCCCCCCCCCCCCCCACCACTTTCTCTGCAAAACCAGCCTTCGCTCACATTTACAAGTCACACCAGACTCTACCCACGTTTGTGCCAACAAGAACACTCAGATGGAACGGTTGGATAATTAGGTAGCGGGGTGGGAGTGACCTTGAGCAGTCGATTCATTTCTCTGAGAACGCTACGATTTCCTCATTGTTATTTTCGTGTGATCTGACTGTAGAAAAATGTACTACGCGTAGAATAATTTTTTAAATAAATCTGTCACTCGTAAATTATACTCTTATTATGTCCCGGTCATAATTAATTTTATATATTTATCGAATGAGACATATTAAATCTTTTTACTCTCTTATTTCGTTTACTTTTGGATAAACAATTGTTGCATTCTGTTAGCTTGTTTGCTTTAGAATTCAACCATTTTTTCGTTCATTTATTTTGCTTATTCTTGAATAAAACAATCTGTATGCTTTCATTTTGTTCGCTTTTTAATAAGAAAATTTTCGTATTCTTTTTCTTTGTTTACTTCCGAATAAAAAACTTTAACGCATCTTGTTCGATAAATACAAAATTAATCATGGCCGAAAACAAGCCGAAGGCACAGCAATTGGTCGCGCCAATGTAACCAGCACCACTCCCCTTGGCATTATTCTGTCAGCTGTCATCGGCTTAGCTCGACGTCGAATATCTCCGAGTCCCATTTCGGTCCTGCAAACGTTCACGAGCGCCCCGGCATACCGTATCTCAATAAAGTAAGCTGGCAAGATCGGTGATTTCACTTTTGATTCAGCCGGTACAGCGAGAATAGTCGGAACAGCGGATCTGCTCTGTATACAATAGACGGTCTCGTCGACGGTTCATCGTGGAGGCGCGCTGTCTTCTCGGGTAGATGCTGCGTGCATAAATTACGGGACTGTCGATCCGTGTGCAGTGATTTACCGGCGACGTATGAAAGCGGCCGCCAAGGTGAAAGAAGCACGCGTGCATAATGACAGTGAAAGGGAAGGTGGCTTCGCTATCGGTCGTCGCGAGCGAAACCGACGCAGCTCGACTCACGACAGAGACAGACCGCGGAAAATGCTGATTCCGATGGACGCGGGAGGTCGCGTTTTTCCGGGCGCGGAAATTACCGCAGTGGCCCGTAATTGCCAAACGAAATGGCGGCTTTCGATGCAACTGAGGCACCGGCAGACGTGTGCAGCCCGGATCTCGACGCCATGGGAATGAAAGTGAGCATTTCCACGTCCCGACGTGGACACCACGTGGGAACCATGCATTACGGGCACGCGTGACGGTGGAGACTGTCACATTTTTATTTCCTGATGAACTCGGAGCTTTCGGTAGTTCTTCCGTCGTTAAGTCATCGGACCTAGACTGTAAGAAAACCGCGGGAAACAGTCTAATTTTAACACATTTACTTGATGTGAAAAGTATTCGTACCATCTACTTCATTTTAATGACAAAATGTCAATTTTTGAAATGCTACGACTTTGTGAAAGCGTGTCGTGCAACAACGAACCTGGACTCATTTTAAAGCTCGAAGCTGTTACTTATGACGTGCAGCGTTCATTTTGCTGTAACATGTTTTTGCATAATGCAACAGGTGGGAAACCGGGGACATGCTCTTTCTGGACGAAGTTACGGATCGAGAGGTTTGCAAGTATGTACATACACTGGAGAACTTTTTTCACGGCTGAACGGAACACAGATTTGAAGAGTGAAGTCTCCGCTTTACAGCGATCGCTAAAACTTCGACGGACGATTTTTCGTTCGCGCTCTCTAAATCGTCTACGCGAGTCGCCGACCGAAAACCAAATTATCGAAACTTTCATTAATATTAATAACGGTAACCTAGGTGGATAAAATTGGGTCGAGGAGCAGACGGTTTCGCAAGCCCAAGGCCGACGTCTGTTTGCTTCAGAAATTAAGACAACAGCGTCCCGGGCCTTTATTCGCGGGGGAATCTCGAAAGCATACGCGCGCGGCCCAGCCTCGAAAAACGGTGGGCGGAAAAGGCTCGCACGATGACATAACCGTGTGTTGCTCGACGAGATAATATTTCGGCCTTATTACGCGAACGCGCCTGGTGAAAGTGACCGTTATACCCGATTTTATAGAATTCAATTATTCATGCCACATAATTCTAGCTTTACGACGAGATGGTTTGTTCGTGCTCGGCCACAGTTCGATCCCAGGAGAGGCCTATTCCGCGGCGCGCCGGCAGAAAAACGTAACGGGTGGTGCTGCGATCGTAAAACGGAGCAGCGAAACACGAAACAAAGTTCCAACGGACCGAGCGACTCTGAAAGAATTTCCTGATTGTGCCGCGACGAGGAAAAACGCCGATAAACGGGAAAATCGTTGCGAAAACAGCGTCGTTGCGATCGGCATTTCTTGGTTCTCTTTGCGAAAGACACTGTAAAAATATTCTTCGAAAGCTGTTGCCTTCACGCGGAACAAGATGTTGCAAGAATCAGGAATATTTAACGGAGCCCCGCTCTCTTTGTAATAACGTCGTCGCCTGCGTCGTCTGACGAAAGAAACACGCGGTGGGCGAAGCTAAAATGAGATAGGAGAGGCTAGAATAGGATATGCAGGGCTAGAATGAGCGTAATAGGCGTGTCCAGAGCCCGATGAGCGGGTGTAGAAGACGGTGGGCGGAGCTAGGACAGAAAAGATGAGGCTATAACGCGATACGAGCGACAACAATATGATAATAGAGATTAATATCAGGTCGGAGGTAACATATTTCGATGGGAGCTCCTAAAACAAGCTCGGTAGACGGGGCTTGAGCCATATGGGCGGTTCTGGATCACGATGGGCGGGGTCAGTCAGCAGTAGAAACGAGTAACAGCCAATCAAACCTCTCAAGAAACTGTTATTTCTTTCTACGAGCACACCGAATATTATAGATAGCAAGATAATAAATTAAATCAGCCAAAAATCAAAATTAATCTACAATCTTTAACTGTGTTAGTTCTCAAAGTTAATATAACTAATTAGGTTGCGAAAGTGTTCAAATACCAAGTATTATGACAAATTTCGACTTCCTGTCGTCAGTTTCGTTAATCAAATTGCTTAGATTTTCTGGATATTTTGTCGTTGATCTCAAGTATCGAATTAAGGAAACCGGCTAATGAAACGTTGCTCCGGCAATAATAGAAAGACTGTCGCAGATAGCGTCGGAAGTGCAGTTTAGTGTTTGTACCGGTTATGAGACGGTCACTAATGGACGACAGGCGAACGATAGGATGCCCGGGACCACCACACGTCGTCCACATTCCGTCCGAGTGAAAACACCGCTTACGAAATCGGCCCCCGAAAGGGTCAAAGAAAAGCCGACCTGGCCAGAACCGATCGCATTGTGCCAGGCCAGGTAGCTGTCCAACGGGGGTGGAGGGAGGGGGGACAACACACCTGTGGTGGTGGGCGAAACACATTTCGGACCAAGCGGAATGCACGTCGTGGCAGCGTTCAGTCGAGCCTCGGCCTCTCACCGTGACACATCTTATCCTCTTTCCGCAGAACACGCCTGGTTCCGCTGTTCGCGTGATCTCGATCGTGCCGAAGAGTTTCCCGTGGTGCAAGCGCCCGGAAACTGTCGTGCGAGGATCAGTGATCGAGCCGTGTGATGTGAG